GACGGCGGGGAATGATGGAGCCCCGCGCGGCGGCGGCTCCGGGGGCGCCGCTCCGGGGGGCTTCGCTTTGATTTCATTGTGCGATTTTCTCTCTCTCTCTCTCTCTCTCTCTCTATTTTGTTTTTCTTTCTCTCCCTTCTCTCCCCCCTTTCTTCCAGGGGCGGCGGGGGGAGCCCCACGGCGGCACCGCCCCCCTCCCCGCGGCACCCAGGCGCCTCAGATGCCCTTCGGGGGACCGGCACGAAATGGTTAAAAAGACCTGCTGGAGCTCAGCGCCGGGGGTTCCACAAGTGGTTGCCCACGCGGGACCTGGGACCAACCACCGTAACCCCTTCTGCACCCACATTGCTTTTTATCCACTTTTTTAGCTTATCCAGCAATATATATCCCTCCGAAGACTCAAAAAAATACATAGGGAAGCGAGAACAGGCATTTGAAACGCATTTTTGTGTGTGTTATTTATGAAAAAAAATATTGCAAGATTGGTGGATAAATAGCTTTTTAAATAACGACTTTAGGATTATTATTTTCATAGCTTTCAATCATTCACTCTTGCCCGCACAATATTCCGGCACAGTCCGGCTAGGTGAGATAAATCGTCACGTCATAAAACGGTTTATGCTTAAGTAATGAATCTCTTCTTACTCAATCCCGCTTCACACACACAGGCTCTTACATTATCTTATTTAAGAATCACCTCGTAACAGTAGCAATTAGTACTATATTTCAAAATCTCGAAATATATATATAATATAACATAAACACATTCAAAATGACGCGCACACAGGACACATATTTCCTTAAAACCGAAGGCAAGCTTTAGGTGATCAGATATGCAAAGGAGAGGAAACCGGGGGGGCTATTTGCACATAACCTGCTCTCAAGCTCGGCAAAAGACCGACACAACGCCGGACTGAAACCCCAGGCGCTATTCTGGGTTGAGAAGCCGTAAAGCCCCGTTAACACCGCAGAACGCAATTAAATACAAGGAGGTTTATTGCACCGCAACGTCAGCTTCATTGGGGAGTTTCATGAGGGAAAAAAAATACAAAGAGAGCACTGCACTCTGGGTTGGCTTCAGTCTTATTACCTTTTTTTTTTTTTTCACTCTTTTCTTTTTTTTTCCCCGCTTTTTCCCCTCTAAATTCCAGAACCTTATTCTCGAGGACTGCCGCGAACTGCCCTCTTTGAAGAAACCACCCACGTAATAACGACCCTGGAGAGCAGCGCAAAACCCCGCCGGCTGCTGCGCCAACTTCGCCAAATTGCTGGGCTCGCCCGAAGACAGGCGAACTGGCAAGAGAATCTGCGAGGGGAAAAAATAAAACACGACAGCTACCCACAAAGGGCTTGGTGTTTTTTTAAAGGCAGTGTCTTAAAGCCTCCGTCACCGAGCTAATGAAAAATCCTTCATTCCAAGCCTACTATCTCCAGGTGACCTTACAGGCTTTATATTTCTTTTTTTTATTCCATTATATATTTCCTCTTTTTTTCCATTGTAATTCCTCGTTCTCTTAGCCTTTCTTTTAAACTTCTACTTCTATTTAGATATCCCTCCCTTTCAATTTCCTTCCCTTTTCTCTCCCCATTTCTCCCTTTCTCAATCTATGTTACCCTTTTCAGAAAACGTTTCACTTAAACAGCTCTGAGCTTCCCCGATATCCCTGATTTCTTATAGTCTCTCTCTTCCTTATTACTTCRCCATTTTCTTTCTATCTTATAGAAGAAAGAGGGAGTTGGGGAGTGAAATAGAAAAGGCAGTTTGAAAAATGCATTTTCGCAATTAAATTGAAATGAAGAGAAACAGATATTATTCCCTTACCTTTTGTCGTCCATTTCTGTGGTATATGTAAAATATATAGGGAGAGATAGACAGCGTTTGCTTATCTGTTTGCTGACAAATATTGTCCCAACCTGATAGCCGTCGATTGCCTCTCTGACTTGTGATAGCTTCTTGCATTTCTGTCATTTGCATGGAAAATGGAGTAACTTCCCTCTTTGAAAAATGATAGCCTCCACTCGGTCCAGAATTTCCACTTCCCCTCCATTACCACTGAGATTCCAAATCAGCAGGCAAATTAACCCCGGAATTGGAAAAAAAAAAAATCATATAACTCTTTTTGTATGTGAGTGTGTGTATGTGTGTGTATCTGTGTGTGTGCGTATAGGGGTCCCCCCTCCCCTCTCCCCTGTTTTAGCCCTACCGAGCTTATACACAAAAGTAAAAAAATGTAAAGAGGCGAGAGCCCTATAGAGGACACTGATCCGACCCAAGGTGCAGCGGACAGAAGAATGGTGCAATATAACCACATGGGAAATAATAAAAAGTTCATGTTCACGGTTAGCAGTCCACATGACCGGCTCTGGCCAATCCCAGAACCCAGCCACTCATAAAGTTCTATCACAAAGTTGTAAATTTTCATAAAACAACAAGGAATTTATTGCATTTCTTCATGACCGGTTTAACAGCAGTCTTTTTCTTAGCCGCCATCTTTTTTTTTTTAACAAAAATAAAAGAATATGAAAGTAGTTTCAGGGATTTTTTCCTCTTGGTTGCGAATGGAGGAGTGTTTGCTAGAAATAATCGAATATTACCTTATACATTAAGCTATGAACAATAATATCCCCCACCCCCACCCCGCCGGATAGAGAATTTGGGGGTTGCGTTGGCTTTAAAGTGGGTAAAAATATAATAAAACAATAGGGCTCGGGTGGGGTCTTGATGTAATTTTGGGTTATTTTACGGCACCTTTCCGCTGCAAGGGGGGAACTCATACTTGCGGATCCCAGGAAAGAAAAGGAGGCAGATAAAGGTGCATCGTGAGCGGGGCCATGTGCGGGCAGAGCCGCCGGCTGCGTCCTCGGCTGTCCCCTGCTTTCCAGGACCCTTCTATAGCGCASGAGTCACCGGTGGGGGGACCCCGGAGGGGAGGGTTGTCCCCCCACCGCAAAGAGCTGCCCTTCCCTTTCCAGAGGCTTGTTTTGCCTCCCGCCTTTGAAAATATAATTATTTAATTAATATTTTCTGGTGTCTCCTTGTCCCTGGCTGCAGGGCTCTGTGCTCGGACAGAAAGCCGGGCCGGGGCAGCGTAGAAGCGCGGGAACGGGGGGAAATTTCTGGAAATCTCTCTTTTCTTTTTTCTTCCTTCTTTTTTTTTTTTTTTTTTTTTTTCTTCTTT